ACACTGGTATCACCACTTCACTGTCTAGCCTGGAGTCTAAAATAATTTCACATTTAATTAAAGACACACTATGGCTTTTCCTGTCAATGGGTAGTTTGACTGGCCTCTAAGAAAAAAGAAATAGCCAGTTCTTGCAAAATAAAATTCTGAATGCTGCCTGCCAGGAACAGTGAGAATAGTGATAGCAAGGAAGAAGAAAGTAAAAGTTGAAGATCAACACAACATGTAGGTTCTGAAAATAAACACTGTTTTGCCACTGCGGATTTATTAGGGATTTGTCAGTTCATCACAATGCACTGTTAACTTTCACTATGGTCTGTTTTGCATCCTTTCTAAAAAAAAAAATCAATTCTCATTTTTAATAAGGCTTTAGTAAAAACAATGATCTGCTGTGAAGGTTATTCTGCCAAACTTTGGAAACCTATACAAGGAGGAAGAAAAGTAGATTACTGTACTCACAAAACTAATTCAGAAAAACATCTACAGTCAAATATGAAAAGGAAAGGAACACTTTTGTGTTTTCTGTAAAGCTTCACAGAAAGGCAAAAGGGTGGGAAGAAAAGTGCAATACAGTCATCCCTCCCCATTCGCGGACTTGGAGTCTGCAGTCTTGCTCTTTGCAGGAAGGCAAATGGGGAGGGACAAAATGGCGGTGTGCAGCCATGTGCAGCCCTTCTCATGCATTACAGGCACAGACACCATTATTTTCAATGGGGCGCCAATATTTGCAAGTTTCTATTTTCACAGGGGGGTCTGGATCAGATCCCCTGCAAATTGGGAGGAACGACTGTACTTGTTTTTGTGCACACAAATGCTGTAATAATGTTTTATACTAATAGAAATACATGATGAAGCAAAACAAAAATCTTTTAACATGAGTAGGACTTGGGATTTTATTACTGCCAGGCATGGGCTTATTAAAACCAAACACTTCCACAGGATTTTTAAGAAGGATAATTTGTGGTAATACCTTGATTCCACCAACCCAAAAGGCATGAATTTCTTTGCAAGCTTTTGAAACAAAAGGCTAACTTTCCACAGCTCTGGTACCCATCATTCTCATGTGGCATTGTCTGCATAGAAAAGCTAAGTCAAACATTTCTTCCTTTCCATGATTAATGGCACAGGTTAACATCACATGGAGTTCTTTTTACCTGAAGGGGTTTATGACATTAAGGAAGCACAGTCTGAATGCAAAAGCTCCTTCCCTTTTAGATAACAGCAAAAAATATCCCATGCGTGCCTCTCAAGTTGGTGAAGTTTGGAGTTTTTGACTTCCCCCTCAAATCTGCATGAAGATGACAAGAACTGTCAATAAATCAAAAACTTAACCAAGTCCTGACATTATAAGACCAGAAAGTAATCAACAAAAATGCCATGGTTCAAGAGGTGGCCTTCATATTATTAGTCTTATGCCGTTTAATTTACATAATTCATCTACCACCATTTTACTCCATAAAAGCTTAGAGGAAAATAAAGAAGAAATATATTTTCTTCTTTAGGGCAGCTTCCAGCCAAATGCTATAAAGAAATTAAGTATAGCCTCATTCTTGAGAGTCAATGCAGCCCTGAATCACAGTTTGGGAGCAAAAGTGTGGTATAGAAAAAAAAATAAAATGATGATGATGATGATGACGACACAGTAAAATCAAGGATGGGAAAATAATGGCACTATTTAAAGAAACTCAAGAGCAAAAGAATCCACACAATAACCTAAAACAGGTGATGATGTGTGAAACTAAAAGATGCAGAAAAGACTGGACTCTTTTGAATAAAAACAGGAAGATTCCTCCAAAACAATGTAAAATATAAATGAGTTATCTCATCAGCTGGAGAATATATTTACAGCAAGGAGATATGCTGGCAGAGATCTTTATCCTGGAAATATCAGCAAAGTCAGGTAATTATGACAATGGTGTGCATGTTTACTTGGGAATTCAATAAGACCTAGTACCAGGCAAGGATGTGACAGTTTGCAGTGTATAATAATAATAATAAATAATAATAATAGAATTACATTGGGGATGGAAAGAACTCAGACAGGTCATCCAGCTTAAACCTTGGAACAAACAATTTACCAATAGCTTATTCAGAATTTCTTCCCTCTTACAATAGTCGCAACAAAATTAGAGTAGCCCCTCCCAATTTGCAGAGGATCCATTCCAGGCCCCCCCACGAAAATGGCGGCTCACAAGTATTTGGGTGTACGTGTTTATGAGGGTGCACATAAGCACACGCCAACAAAGTCACACTCTCTCCTGTGAGCATCCATCACATGCAGACCCCACAAACTAACCCACAGCTTTATCAGTGTGAGTGATTTGAGATAACCAAACCTGCAAAAAGAAGAAGAGGAAGTGCAAATCATTCATACTTCCTGTTTTATCATGTGTAGCATATTGGTCAGTGCATTTTTACTTTGAAAAGATGCATGTGCTCCCAAACCAAGGACAGCTAATGCATTCCCCTGTGGTGAAGGAGACGTGCAAACAAAGATAAAACAGAAATCAAAAGCAACTCATTACTTCCTTTTCTCTCTCCTCACCTCAACCTCCCGTCCCCATTCAATGATTCAACAGCAAGCGAGCAAGAAAAGTTGCCTAGTCGCCTGTGACAAATTCTGAACTGCCTCTGAAGCATTTCAGTGTGGAATATTCGTAAATTGGGAGAAACGGTTGTCTACTGTTGTTTTCCTTTTCTAGACATTAGATCAGCTCACATATACCTTTAATAGATTTCTTTTTAAGGTTGGTTTGGAGAAATCCAGCAGTTCAAATGAGAGAGTCAAGTCACAGAATACAGGGTGAAGAGGAGCAGGGACTAAACTTTGGAGGAAAAGTGACTCCTTAGACTTAAGTACCAACTTTCCCCCAGAAAGCAGCTTGCTACATCTTCTGACTACTAACAGCCTCAGTAAAGAAAAAGAGAAACAAACCCTCTGATAAGGGAGATTTTGATTCCAATAAGCCACAACTAAACTTCAACAGCCATCTTCTTGGAACAAGCTATGACTAGAAAATGGATTTACTCCTATAAATCAAAGATACAATGAGTGGGTTTTCTTCAGCAGATCAAAACAAAAATATCAAAATAAGGTGACATTTTATGGTACCCACTCAGAATGGCCAAGCTAGAGTGAATTGAAGAGAATTGATTACTAGCTTAGAGGCAGTATGGCTGCAAAACTGTCCCAGCTTTGGTGTGCATGAGCATTTTACTCAGACTTGGACAGGAAAGTATAACAAACGTTCACATGTCAAGGCAAAAGTTAGCCTTGAAAACTAGTCTGCATTTTGCCTGCGAACTTGTCACAGGAAACAACCACATTTATTGTCTTTCTTTAGAGGATTTACTGTCCCTCTTTATTCTGGATTTTGACACAAGTTAAACACAAGTGCTACAATCCTCTGCACTCTTGCTCAGAAGCAAACCCACTGATATCTAGATAACATCTGAGCATGCATGCAAGAGTGTAAGGAAACACAACAACCTAATATCCAATACTGGCCTAAATACCTGGCAGGCTCCAGATACTATCTGATCTTAGAAGCTAAGCAGGGTCAGCTCATGTTAGTACTTGGATGGGAGACTATCAACACATGCCAGGTGCTGCAAGCTATATTTCAGAGGAAGGAACTGGCAAAACCTCCTTGCCTAAGAAACCCCTATGAAATTCACGATAAGTTGACAGGTGACATGAAGTCATAGACACACACAATATACATTTCACTTAATACATGGTAATATATTTTGCAAGGAGAGCCATTGAACACATATGGGTGGCCTATAGACTTTGCTGGTTTTCATACCTATGGCATCATACCCAAAAATACAGTTTGGACAGTATTTGATTACTCTCATTGACCTTGATTTCTGTCAGGTCCAGCCTAGACCAGCCCACAGGGGTGGCAGGAACTTAAAACCTAAGACACCTAGAGCAGAAAATTTATCTGCAATTAGTTTCAATTTCCTTTCCTCTGCCATGTACAAAAGGTCACATCCTGTACTCCACCTAAATTTCCTTCATCAACTCTCCAGCCCTGCATCCACAATCACCAGCTTTGCATAGAACGCATTTCAGTATTAAGCATGCACTGAAAAGAAAGGGATAACTTTACAACTTTTTACTGCACCTGAACTGCAGTTACCACAGCACAATCATGCAGAGTTACAAGGTCATTAATCCCATTTCAGTGGTTGAACATGTACCCTCACAGTCTTTTAGATACAAGCAAGGCTGCAATAATTCCCACTTTAACTAACCTAACAAACTCTACAAGGATATATCGTAAAGTAATAATAATCACCTGGAAGTTATTATGGTATATTGATGAAATTTTGTCAGTGTCATCATATTGCCATGCTTCTTATAATACATAATACATACTGAGGAATCTTTCTCTTTAGCTCCTCTCTCCTTCGAGCATCCCAACTCACCCTCAGCCACTTTCTCTCCAAAGGGGGTAGAATTCAAAGATATAGCTATGCTAGTCTGTAAAATCAGTATGTAAAGAGTTCTTGTAGCACCTTTGAAACTAAATGTAAGAAAGAAGTTGACAGCATGAGCTTACTTCAGACTTCTTCCTACAAATGCATCTGAGGACATAGACTACAATCTATGAAATTTCATGCTGCCAACTTATTTCTTTCAGTTAGTCTCAAAAAAAGGTGCAACAAGACCTCTTGACATACTTTCTTTCCAAAAGTGCCTCAAAAGGAAAACAAAATAAAATGTCACACACTCTCAGCCCCAGAAAACCCCAATAAAAGTAAAAAAAATGTAAGTCAGAAATGATCTGAAGGTGCACAACCACAAAAATGATGGGGTAAAGGTGGAGCCAGTGTGGTGTAGTTTAAGTGTTGGACTAGGACACTGGGAGACCAAGGTTCAAATCCCTACTGAGTGACCTTCATGCTTGACAAAGAAAGAACCTGAGGTATAAAGAAAAAATGAATGCAAAAGAAACATAGATGACACATTTTCCCATCCCTATTGGAGAGCCAGTGTGATATAACGGTTTGAACATTAGATGGCAACTCTGGAGACCAAGGTTCAAATCCCTGCTCTGCCATGGGAACTCCCTGGATGACCTTGGGCAAAGACATTCTCTCAGCCTCAGAGGATGGCAATGGCAAAGCCCCCTCAGAAGAAACTTGCCAAGAAAACCCTACAAGAGGGTTGCCATAAGTCGGAAAGACTTGAAGGCACACAACAACAAGAAGAGGTGGGGGAAGACAAGAGGCAAGACCTGAGACATAGGTCCAAAACACACTGTAGAAATCATCCAGTTTGAGACCGCTTTAACTGCCTTGGCTCAGTGCTAGGGAATTCTGGGAACTATCATTTTATGAGACATTTAGCCTTCTCTGTCAGAAAGCTCTGTGTGCCACAATAAACTACAAATTCCAGGATTCCTTAGCACTGAGCCAGGGCAGCTGAAGCAATCTCAAACTTGGATTATTTCCGCACTGTGTTTTGGACCATATAGATCAAGAGATTCCCAAACTTTGGTTCTCCAGATGTTTGGGACTTCAGCTCCCAGGATCCCTAACCATTGGCCAAGATGGTGGAGGCTTCTGCGAGCTGAAAGAACCAAAGTTCCTGGAGAGCCTGACAGTTTGGGAATCCCTGGTATAAATGGCCCCGGAGGGTGCCAGCTCTCACCTCTCTTGCTGCGTCTCCAGCGACTGCTTTGGCAGTGACTGTAATCCATACAGTTCAGGATGATCAAGGCAAAGGAGAAGAGGCGAAACTGCATCCTTCGGCTCAGGGATGGGATGGAAAAGGATGTTTCCAGCAGAAGCAGCAGCAGCAAAAGACAACCTGGGACCAGGGATCTTTCCAAGGAGCAGGAGAGTTATCCTCCTTTGGAGGAGGCGAGGTAACAGGCAGGCAGGAGGGGGGAAAAGACAAGAGAGGGGAGGAGGAGAGGAGAGGAAAAGCCACTGCAGGAGTCGCTCAAACACCCTCCGAATCGCTGAGCAGAGTCTGCAGCGTCTGGACAACTCCAAGCATCTCTCCGTCGATCTGCAAGGAAAGAGAGAAAGAATGAATGAATGAAATGCACAGGCTCCAAAAAGAATGAAAGTAAGAAAAGAAAAGCCCTTGTTGTAAAAGTGCACACAGTGGGGTGTTAGTGGGTTTGAGCACTGGGCTACGACTCTGGAGGCCAGGCTATTTATTGGGTTATTGCTCTGGATGCTTTCAGTCCCCACTGAGTGAAGTCACACTCTCTCCGACTCAAAGACATGTTAGTCTGTAGAATCAGTATGTAGAGAGATCTTTTAGCACCTTTGAGACTCACTGAAAGAAAGAAAGAAATTGGCAGCAGGAGGTTACTTCAGACTAATTCCTCAGATGTATTTGGTGGCTGAAGTCTTGGAAAACTCATGCTGCCAATTTATTTCCTCCAGTTACTCTCAAAGGTGCTACAAGATCTCTCTGCATACTCTCTCTGACTCAGAGGATGGCCGCCGCCACCACCACCACCACCACTCTTGCAAGAAACTTGCCAAGAAAACCCCACCACAGAGAGGCAGCATGGTTTAAGCACTGGACTAGGATTCTGGAGGATCAGGTTTCATCCCCACTGGGTAAAGTCACACACTCTCAGCCTCAGAGGATGGCCAGGGCAATCCCTTTCCCTACTGAAGAAACTAGCCAAGAAAACCTAGTGGTGTAGTGGCTTGAGCATGGGACTAGGACTCTGGAGACCATGGTTCAAATCCCCACTTGGCCTTGGAAAGTCACTGGGTGACCCTGGGCAAGGCACATTCTCTCAGCCTCAGAGGACAGCAATGGCAAACCCCTTCCTTTGAATAAACTTGCCAAGACAACTCCACGATAGGGTCGTCTTAGAGTCTCCCTCAGTCGGAAACAACTTGAAGGCACCCAACAACAACCCCAACAAGGTCTCCAAGTAGTTTCAAGGGTTGGAAACTACTCTAAGGCACCACCACCACAAGAACAAGAGTCACTGTAGGGTTGGAAATGACTTGAACCACAACCATAAGGTTCTCTATCCGTAGGAAACAACTGGAAAGTGCACAACAACAAGGGTCACCTTAGGGTTGGTCAGCAACAACTTGAAGGCCCACAACAACAACAACAATGGTAGAATTCAAAGATATAGCCGTGTTAGTCTGTAGAATCAGTATGCAGAGAGATCTTGTAGCCCCCTTTGAGACTCGTTGAAAGAAAGAAGTTGGCAGCATGAGGAGCTTTCCTAGACTTCAGTCTACTTCCTGAGATACAATTGGTCCAAATGCATCTGAGGAAGTAGACTGAAGCCTAGAAAAGCTCATGCTGCCAACTTCTTTCTTTCAGTGAGTCTCAAAGGGGGCTACAAGATCTCTCTACATAGTGATTCCACAGACTAACAGGGCTATAGCTTTGAATAATAATAATAATAATAATAATAATAATAATATGCATCTGAGGAAGTACAATAGACTGAAGGCTAGGAAAGCTGTTCATGCTGCCAACTTCTTTCTTTCAGTGAGTCTCAAAGGTGCTGCAAGATTTCTCTGCATACTGATTCTAACAGGGCTATATCTTTGAATAATAATAATAATAATAATATGCATCTGAAGAAGTAGAGTGAAGTCTAGGAAAGTTGCTCATGCTGAGAACTTCTTTCTTTCAGTGAGTCTCAAAGGGGCTACAAGATCTCTATATACTGATTCTACAGACTAACAGGGCTATATCTTTTAATAATAATAATAATAATAATAATATAAATCTGAGGAAGTAGACTGAAGGCTAGGAAAGCTCATGCTGCAAACAACAACCAGAGTGGCTTTTGGGTCTCCATCAGTCGGAAACGACTTGTAGGCACACAACAACACCATCAAGAAGAAGAAGAAGAGTCTCCATCAGTCACCTTAGGAGCAGAAAGGACCTGAAAGTACCAAACACCAACAAGAAGAAGAAGAAGAGTCTCCATCAGTCACCTTAGGAGCAGAAAGGCAGCCAACCCCACCAGCAAGAAGGGTCGCCTTCGGGTCGGAAAGGACTTGAAGGCACCCAAGGAGACCAACAACCCTAGGAAGCCTCCCCATCAATGGGAAACGGCTTGTGTGGAAACCAGGACAAGAGCAGCAACCATCCCCTCTGTCTCCAGCATCTCCTCCTCCTCCTCTTTTCTTCTCTCTCTTCGCCTCTTGCCCCTCACATCCCTCCTCTGCCTCCTTCCAGCATCCCATAAAAGGTAGAGGAAGAAACCAACATGTACTTTCCTCCAGGACACTCCTTCCTTCCACCGCCCCCCCCCCAAAAAAAGAAAGAA